CGAAGAATGAACACCACAAATTTCTGCTATCTGCACACCTGCTGCTCACCTTTTAGCTTGTTGTGTTAAGGGCACGGCGTAGTCGTCGACGGTAGGATCGCACCGAACAGAACGAAAAGGGATGGTCTATAAAATGGTGGAGAGTGAAGTCGCGTGCCATCTGTGGCGTCAACGTTGCACAGCGTGGCGGAATCGTGCACTATCCGTTTTACACTGGATCGTCGATGGATGAACAGATAGATGTACTACTTGTAAAGAGCCGCTACACACGTGTGTTGGGGGGTCGAAACGGGCACAACCCGTTGTACAGCAGTAGTAGGAAAATGACCACATCCCTTTCGACTGAGGTTATATCTCGAACGGGTAGACTAGTCTTCTTGTGAGGTTATGTTCACTTTTTAAAAATGTTTTGGGAGTTCTCGCGCACGCGCGCTTCAGTAAATATTTGAGCCGAGAACGGTGCAGTAGCACACGACGGAAGCCACGCGGAACGCAAGCGTTTGAACGCAGCTAGTTTCGCTGGTACAAAGCCATGGTAACTGTATCCTACCTTTCAAACAGCGACAATCTAACAGCCGCGATCTAGACCTAGCTGTGTGTACGATAGGACGATCGAAGATCACATGCAGCGTGAACCCGTCGCATTCAAATTTCTCGAGATGTGCTGGTGGTAGTGGCGGACGAAGAACGTCTCTCCCTACTTTGGATGTTACTCTAGGGGCGGGTTCCGAGCTAAAGACGAATCACCTTTCCCACCTCGGAGAAGAAAAAAAAAAAAAAATTGACTTCGCAGATCGTTCTCAAACGCCCAAAAACGACGTTTAAAAAAAGTTCCCAAAAAAAAAAAGTTCCCCTTCAGCCCGAACTTTTTTTTTCGCCGCATTGCCGAACTTTTTCGCCACGGGAATCGTCGCCAATCGATTCCGCTTGGTCGAATTAGGGGGGGTAGAGCCACTCAGAAAGTTGGTCAGACAAAAAGTGGTGGTGGGAAGCGGGCTTGAAAATGCTGCGCGGCCAGGGCCCAGCGGTGACTGCCGCTGGCGAATGTACACGCATCATGTATGCTGGCCAAACAAGATACGAGGTTATCCACAAGTGGTCCCCACACGAACGAGGAATCAAGCTTCGCACCACCTTGTTGGACAGCAAGAGGAAGGGCAGAAAAGCCGCGGAGAACACAGGCTACTGCGAGGCTAGCGAAGTGGTTTTGTCCAACTTGGCCCGCGAAAAGGCTGACGCCATCATGGCGGGCAAGCGAAACGCAGCTCGGAAGAACGGCATACCACAAGGCGGCGGAAGCGGGGGTTGCGGGGCAGACAGGGTTATGTCCTGCCCCGTCATCGCCGCCATCCAGGGTTCGCATGAGGGATTGAGGACACGTTCTTCTGCCACCACCAACCCGGCTGCTAATAACCCAGAGGTAAGCTGCGCGTCCGGTTGGGCAAGTACGATGTGTGGTACTGCTGTAGCACGGGTGCTGCTGCCTGCTGCCTGCTGCCTGCTGCTGCCTGCTGCCTGCTGCTGCCTGCTGTAG